GACTGTGTCAGTGGCTTCACATCACAGCTCTCTGAGCTTTCAAAAGAACCCTGAAACAGTTATTACTACTCCCTTTGGGGATGAGAAAACGGAGCTCTCGAAGCACTAGCTATACTAAAAGGGTGAGGCCAGGGTCCAACCTGGGTGTGTCTGACTCTAGCCTGTCTGTCGCTGGCAGGTGGGAGCCCGGCAGGCTCAGGGTTTCACAGAAGGAAGGGAAGGCAGATTAGCCTCGGGCAGCCCGGCTGCTCTCCGCTTCACTTGCTGAGGCCGTCCCTTCGTTCCTCCGTCCCTCCGTGTGAATGCAGAAACACTTTTATTGAGCTGAAAACCAGAAAGTTCCCAAACTATTCATTTAAAAAAAAAACAGCCTCCTTGTTTTTGGAACTCAACAAACAGAAAGGCTTCTGATGATGGCTTGTTTCTGTTTTTACATTCACAGTCTTCCCCCACTACCTGTCTTTTCTACTTAAATAAAGGTGTTCTGAAAACAGCAGCTTCACTGCTTCCAGGCTCTGAAGTCAGGAAGGAAAAAAAAGACAAAAAGTTTTTCAACCACCATGACATTTGCTCTGCAGGGATGGGAGATGGGAAGAGCGGTGTTGGCTGAACACTGACTTGGTACCTAGGACTGTGCTGGGCACTTTACTCACAGCCTCTTGACCTGAATTCAATCTTCCCACCAACCCATTTTACAGATGAGACGGCTGAAGCTCATGAGGCTCCTTCTGGAGAGGGGATGTGTGGGCTGATTTGTACCCAGGGTCTATGGGTGCAAGTATAGCGAGGCAAGAGGGATCCTGGACCAGGCCGGGGTGGGGGGAGCAGCCAGAAGAGTCTTAGCTCCCCTTAAAATCACAGCTCCTGGAGGTGTGCCCTGCACCTAAGGGGCCAAAGAGAGAGGGCACTCACCAAGCAGCTGGACACCCCGCGTGAGGCCGTAGACGTCCACCAGGGCCCAGAGTGGGTCTGCCGTGCGGACCCCATTGAAGAAGAGCATGGCAGCCGAGTCGTTGATGCGGTAAAACACACGGCCCTTCTTGTCCACCCAGAAGGCGATGATGTTGCCCTCGTTGGCAAATTCCTCGGGCAGCGCCTTGGCCCAGAAGCCGCTCTGGGAGACCAGGTCGGGGCAGGCGTACTTGGGCAGCGAGTCAGGGTGGATGCGGGAGGGGTCCTTGCTCGTGAAGCCCAGGCGCAGCGCCCCACTCCAGCAGCACTGCTTCTTGGTGATCTGGATGGCAGGGGGGTGGCCTCAGACAGCCCGCAGCCCAGCCCAGCCCAGCCCAGCCTCTCCCCGGCTTCAGCGAGCCCACGGGGAAGGGAGTTGCCCCTCCCTGCAGACCACCCCCATGGAGAGTCACCCTGCCCAGCTTGCCCACCATTTGGGCTCCTTTCCCTCCCCAGGAGCTAGTGGCCCCCATGGCCACTCCCTGCTCCCCTTCCTTCCTTGCCATGCGGGGAAGGTTGAGAAAGGAGTACGGACAAGATAACAGAAAGAGGAGGGACGAGGAAGAGCAACAGAGGGAGCAGAGAGGAAAGAGAAGGTACAGGGTGTAGTAATGGCCATAAGAGAAGGCAGTGAAGAGGTGGGGCGGTGAGAAAAAGCTCAGAGGCCCAG